GAGGCGTGGAGGCGTGGAGGCGTGGAGGCGTCCAAGCCGCGAAGCCGCGAAGCCACGAAGCGTCGAGGCGTGGAGGCGTGGAGGCGTGGAGGCGTGAAGGCGTCGAAGCCGCGAAGCCGCGAAAGCGTCGAGGCGTGGAGGCGTGGAGGCGTGAAGGCGTCGAGGCGTCGAGGCGTGGAGGCGTCGAGGCGTCGAGGCGTGGAGGCGTCGAGGCGTGGAGGCGTGGAGGGCCCGTTTCCCGAACCCATGTCCCCATACCCTCTCCCATGGTACTGATACATATATATAGTCAGAGATAGATGATATGTGAGAACCATGTATTTTTCAATGTTTTCTTCCAATCTCACTCCTCTCCCAGACACACCTCATGATGCAGAATACGCACTTTCGTTCCCAAACGAAATGAGGCCCCCTAGCTAAAGCTATATAGCAATGAGTGCATTGTTATCGTTTAACGCCTCAGCACCTTTGGTGCGGGCGGATACATTTTCCTGCCCGTTTCCTTCCTACAGCGTGCGAAGCCAGAGGGGCTTCGTTTCTATCCGTTTTGATCCGTTTCGTGTTCTTTTGTGTCCTGTTTTCTGAGGCTCCTTCTGGGCCTTCAATCTTCTGCTGTTTTTCCACCTGTTTGGGCTGTGTTGTATTTGTTGGCCGGCTGGGGGTTCTTTCCTGGAAAAAGCATAGACGCCGGACAGCAGCACGCACGTCATGTCCGTCCTGACCCTTCAACCCTTGACAAACACAAGAGTGTTGCTCCTATTTGTGTTCCCTTCGTGTTTTTCTTTTGCACTTTTGTTCTTTTTTTCCCTTTCCTTTTGTTCTTGCTCTCTCCCTCTTTCACCCTGCATGCGGAGCCAAAGGTTGCTATATTGCATGATATTTTCGCAATTGCTGTGAGCCACACATTGGTTTTGGTCATGGAAGCAACCACGCAATGCTTTGGTTTTTGCCGAAAGCAAACAAACATGCAGCACTTGACATCCAGTCGAAACCATTTTCTCTCTACCAAAACGCTGGAAAATTTCACAGAAGGAATTGAATGAAATTACTGTAGGTCAACTCAAACGACGCCTGAGGCCACGAATGTATTGAATACACCATCACTGCACGACGGCTGGCACTAACTTGCGGACAAAGTGTGCAGCACAGGTTCTCATCTCGTAGCATGCCTCGCCAAAGTGACTCAAGAGCCCCGGACTTTCCTTACAGTCTTACAGCAAGTTCTGCTGTATCTTCAGAGTTCCCCCCTGCAAAGCCTGGCTGGGGGTCTATGCTTCGCCATGTGTTCTCTTGCCTTTGGCATTGGGGCACAGACAAGAACTTGAAGTGCGGAAATGAGGGTGTGCGCAGAGTGTCAGAGCTGCTCGGAAGCGTGCGGAATAAGAGTTTTGTTGCTAAGAAAGAGAGGGTGCGCGTGTAGCATGTTTTGTATGTCAGCTTTGGGGTCACCTCTTGTTAGACTACAGCTGCTGTGCTGTAAGCGCATGGGGCACAGGCCCATCGTGGAGACATGCACCCCTTGAAGTTATTCCAAAGGGGGGGACGCGGAGATTGATCACCTCCGTGTACCTGCTACTGGCTGTGGCGTTTTGTAACTGCAGTTGTGGCAGTGAGACTTACTTGTTCCCAAAGAGCTTTTATGCCTTTGCAACCCCAGTCGATTTGTGCCTTGGCCTCCTGGCTTCGAAGTGTCGCTCGCCTTAGCTCAGCCAACTCGTGCGGCCGAATCTTGGCAAGGGAACGCCTTGCAAAAGCCAAGGGTCCTCACTGGTAGCGTTCTTGTTACTAGTAGTCAGGCTAGGAGCCACTAGTATATCAATATAGCTTCTATGCCCTTTGTTCCTAGTAGCTAATTTGCTACTAGTAGAAATGCCCTTGTTCCTAGTAGCGGTAGAAGTGAAACTCTTCTGGCTTGTTCGGGTGGAAAAGAACAATGCCCATTTTCACGTTGGGGCATGAGAGCTGGGCGGAGTGTACTTCTTGCAACTGGAACAGAAGAACTTTCCCTGAACGAGCGGACAGTAGATGATTTCATCCTGGGATCATCCTTGGCCAGGCCGAGTAGGCTGGTAGTGAATCTAGTGGTTAAGCTATTTTTGCTGGAAACGGGTGCGTTCAACAGTAAGTGGTTAGTCTCCCAACATGGTTGCCACTTCTATCCGCAGAAACCAGTGACACAGCACCATGCAGGAAACCCTTCAGTTCCAAACTGAGATTGTCGAGGTTGCTTCCACTTTTCTGTTTCAAACGTCTTCGTTCCAGGGCGTTTGGAACTCCTGCGAAGTCTTACACGCGTCCAGCATTGCCAGGACCGGATCTACTTCACCCACTTTAGGAAGAAGACCGGCGATCAGCCGAAACTGTACATCTGGGCTTGGAACTTATATCTTTTATGGATGATCGACTCCGTAACGCGTTGGGTATGGATGGTACGGTGTTTTGGCATTGGAATGTTCAAAACTGTCAAATCCACAGGTGTACTGTCTTCTTCATGACTCCTTGTAGCAATGGGTAACCAGGCGATAATCTATTTGTGGGCCATAGTGGTGATTAGAGAGATGGAACCGGGAAAAATCAGTTGGTTGCTTGAAATGGATTCGTTCGAGAACATATACATGTATATATACTTGTTATCTCAAAGACACCCCTCCATGCAACAGTTGAAACGGTGATAGACCAGCAGTAGTGTTCGTTTGCTGGTCCATCGGCCTGCACCGGCTGCTCGAAACGCTCGGACTGCTCCGAGTCCAGCGATGTGGATTTCGCCTACATGGATGCCGAGGGCAGGAATTGGGGAAGGCAAAACTATGGTACCGGGTGACTGGATCGAAGGAGTTGGGAACATCGGTTTTGGAAGTCCAGCTCCGATAGATCTTCTATATGTCCCAAGTGTTTGACAAATTTGAGGCAACATGTGTGGGCGACCAAGTGCAGCATATTTGATGACCTGAACAGGGACAGCTTGGGAAATTGAGAACCAGATTTGACCCCATAGAAATCATAGGAACCATTAGAAACCTATTCAGAACGCGGGCAAGATTTGAGTCGATTCCCTGGAAAAAGGAAACTGGTATTAAACTTCGAGTGTAACTCGATTGCACGATTTGCCCCATCAGCCCCCTTCCTACTAGCTATTGCCTCCAACCTAGTAGCGATGACTTCCAACCTAGTCGCGATGGCTCCTGACCTGGATTTTGTTCGCTGAATCCTCCTGTTCTGACCTCCAAGTCACTTAGACATCTTAGACCTATGACATCGTTCGCATGGGGCGCCCCCTGCGTGCGTGCAGTCCGATCACCATGGTAGCGTTGGGAAACAAGCTTGCTCCTCAGATCGGCCTTGCAATGCAGAAATTAGTTGCCGAAACAAGACGGGTAAGGGCAGTTCAATGCGCAGTTCAAGGCCGATAGGCTTTTACATGCCTCTACCAAAATCGACTTAGCGGGTTGAGTTCTATCGTCATGAGCCATACAGCTGACACCGCCACCCGAACGCCCGAAACGATGCCTTTCGCCCGAACGCGCTGAGGTTTCTTGTCTCTCACAAGTTCATTTTCGTCGCAAAAGCCGGACACCGAGATCGCCAGCGAAAGCCTTCCGTTGCGCGTGGCCTGCCTGGCTGGTGAGTAAAGGACTTGGAGCAAACAAAGATTGTAGGCCTGCCTGGCGACTTCAGTGCACAATCCATACAGCGGGCCATTCCTGTCGTTGAAAGACTAGTTCTACAATGTTCTATAGATATATAATTGTTGGACAACTTTCATGGATTCAGAGATGATGATGGGCAATGTTTAAAGCAATATCTTAGAATGCCGGCTCACATCGGCTCACCATTATTGCTCATCCTCTGAAAATCATCTCTTTATCCCAACACTGGATGTGTAGCATCTGCTCTGAAACAGGTCCAGATCGCCAGGGAATCGCCAAGAGCTGTGGAGGTTGTGTAGTTATGGTGTTCATATCATAGGGGAGTGTTTGACAACCAGTAGGTCCCAAATCCCATAGTTTGGCAAGACTGGAAGTTTACTGGTCCCGGAGGCAGAACCTGTGGGTGCCATACTGTATGGACCAAACTTGTTCACTGCTCAGACATCCGCTTTGCACGGAAGGTGAAAGATGTTGCAGCGCAGACGGTGATGTTGATGGTCAGTGCTGATGGGGGCCGGACCTTCAACTCGGCGCAGGCTTGCTCGGACACGCACCCCATTGAGGTTTGTTGGGGTTCGTTCGGTTCGTTTGTGGACACGACTGGAGTGCTATGTTGGATTTGTGGGGTGAATTTTACATGTGGATGTCAGATTCAGATGTTGCGTGACTTGTGGCGGTTCCTCAAAAATCCTCAACACAGAGCTTCCTGTGCGTGCGGTTTCGATCTTTTTGCTCGATGGAACTTGTTTCATTTTGTTTCGGTTTTGGCAGTTCATGTTCTACTCGAGTGTTGAATCGGTTGAATCTTCTATTCTGATAATTACTCGTGACAAGTTCAAACCTGGCCATTTTTGCCAAGGGCCTTGAAAACCACGTCACCCTACATGCCTAGTCACCCTCTGTTATTGCAACTCTCATGGCCCTCCAAGAACCATCTCTTCCACGCCCCATGCGTCGCATCCATCTCCGTCAGCTGCCCACGGAAATCGATGAGAAGTCCTACACGGTGCTTGACACCTCCGAGGGATTGGTGATGCTCCACGTGAACCACGGTGCCAAGGAGGCGTCGAGATGTAGCCGAGACGCTGTTTGGACTCAGCTAGGTTTCTACAGCCGGCCATCCATGGAGAAAAGACATGGAGGTGCTGATTGTAGCTGTTATAGAAGTTGGGAACGGCTTGATTTAATTGTAGGATTTGGATGGATTTGGAATAAAGTAATGTTCAGCAACTACTGTGCGTTCAGCAACTAGGTTTCAGCAAACATTTTGCCCGTAGGATTTGATGGGTGAGAAAGACATATAGTCGCGATGGCCCACTCGTTTGTAATCAATCCCGTGACCATTTGCACTATGAAATGGGTAACCTCGAGGCCCATATTGGTTTGGGGGCATGTCCGAGCATTTTGTAGAGACCCATTTTGTAGTGGAAACGGGTGATTTGGAGGTTTGGAAGGCATTTTGTAGGACAGGAGTTCTGAACTCAAGTAAGCACCCATTCTATATTATAGTAAATTCCATTGGTTTTGACTTTTGACATGCTTCAAATGCTGTGGTCTGGGCCCCAATTTCCAAAGGGAAATTGTACACATTATCTATCTTCTTTTTTTGATAGTAGGCATTTGGGTGCAAAAGCTTCCTATCTAGCCAGTTCTGCAAATCATGTTCAGATATTTTCACTAAATAATGTCTGGAAACACAACTCCTGACAAACTCCCATGGACTGTTTGGTGGGTCCCTGGACGTCTAACTTGTTTGCCCAGACTTTGCCAGTTTTTCGGTAATCTCCTTTTTGGAACCTTGCCCAAGCACAGCAACCAAAGATCCAGAAAGCCAAAGAACAGCTACGATTTACAAGCTCCTGGAGGCCACCGCCTTCAGATGAACAAAAACGTGTTTCAAAGGACACCTTTTAAAAGCTGGAGATGATAAAATCTTTGGGATGGAAAAGTGTAGGTATTTATCATGACTTGTGCTGAGGTACGGACCCCATTGTGTAGTATAACATATCATTCATTTTGTCCGGGACATGGGTCTTTCATGCGCATTTTGTAGAGACCTGGAGGACCATGTACACACATCCAGTAGAGAATACAAGTTTCACAACTACAAAATGGAACGACATGACCTCACCATGGAAATGCACGCCGGGATATAAATCAGAAGATGTCAGGATAAGGCATTGCATACTCGATGCAAGATTGACGATTCCAAACCATGACACCTTCAGTTCTAGCAGCGGCAACATTGGAACTGAGAAGTGAACGGAGGAACATCTACAAAGCTGTGACAAGAGTGTAAGCCAGTGTAAGCCTTGTAAGCCTTTTTGTAGGGGGGGGAGAGAAGTTTCTGTTGGCCAAAAACACGCAGGCGCGAGTGGGCAACGTGTACATCTCCGATGACAAGGGCATCGACCTCAGAAGGGCAAGACATGAAAAGTCATTACCCAAGAGGCGTCGAATGGAAGCCCCTGTCGGACCATCGTGACGACCTCCTGTTATAGTCCAGCTGGAACGCCCTGGGGGCAAACACGGCGCTGTGTTCCTGCAGCGGAAAGAACACATCAATGACGGGCTTGGTGAAGATACAGTGTGAAAACACACAAACACAGTGACACAGCGTTTGCCGAGGTTCTTCTACAGCAATATGATGCAATATGTTTTCACGTTCCATGTGTAGCTACTCATCTACCGTGATCGGCACCGCCATCACGGAAAGCTCCGCACGCTGAGGCTACCGATTCACCCTCTCGCTCCCCAACAACGTGCGGGGCACCAATGGTGACTGCGAGTTTGACAAGGTGCGATATGGCTGGGGATTTGGTGTAGAATTCGATTCAAAGCAATATGTTCAACCATGTTCAACCCCTGAGCTAAGTAGAAACCGAGGAAGGCCAAGGATTCTCGACCCTTCCATGACTGCCTCAAGATGGATGCCCTCGGAATCCACCGAATTCGTCGGACTTGGTCCGACCGAAAGCCCAGCTACAGGTCCTCAGCCTTGAGGGTGTGTACATGGCCAACTACAAGGCCGCGGGCGTGCACGGGCCCGTGGGGTTCACGGGAAGAAACAACGGGCGGACGGTCACGGAAAACATCCCAGCGGCTGGAGATCCGGCGTTCCAGTCCTGATTTGAATGACAAGGGTGGCCCAAGTCGAAAGTGGTGCCTTGTTTTTTGATGTTTTTGGTGTTTTTTCCAATGTTTTTTCATGTCTTTCCTCTCGCCCGCTGCGTGACGACGCGTTGATGGGTTCTTCTTCTTCTTACCGTCGCCGAGGAGACGAAGAGCTCTGACACCAGCGGAGGTGTGGATGACAAGACCAAGGCGACGCTTTCGGTGCGGGGCGACACCGGTGGACCGGTGGACATCGGGAACCGACTGGAGGTATTGGATGGTATTGGTTGTTTGATGTTGTTTGTTTCACGCAATGGTCTTGGAGATCCATGGAGATCCTAGATTCTAGGATGTTTGCTTGCAGGGCTGTATCTTGATCTCCATGTGTATCCAGTTCCTTTCCGACATTGGTAACATGGTGTTGTTTTGCAACAGCAGCAACAACAACATGTCAACTGCATGTCCAGACAAGTGACAAGACTAGGGACAGCCAAAACCACCAAGTCCAGAGGAAAAGATCCAAAACGATCCATAATCCCAAAGTGGAAGACGCATTCTTTCAGGAGAATTTATTGATCTCATTTTATGACTGAGACGTGAACAAAGATTCCATGTCCATCATTTGTTTTCATCTCTTTTCATCCGACCACCGGAGCTCGACTACCGGAGCTCGACTCACAGGAGGCGGCGGCAGAGAGCGATGCCTTAGAAGAGGAGGCCAAAGCCGGCACCGAGGCGGAAGGGCGGAGCTTCCGCCGAAAACGGGCGAGCGCAGACGACTGTCCAGCATCCTTTTGGAAGGGTGTTCAATAAACAGTGGTATTTACCGGTATTTACTGTGTTTTAGAGCTCCTATTGCAAAACGATGCAAAACGTCTTGTAAATAAATACCATGGGTTTTAGCTTGCCGAAGTTGGAGTTTGGGGTTTGGGTGTCGTGGAAAATCACTTCAACAGGGGATAGGGGTGTTGGCACACTCACAGTGAATTTGTATTTTATTTGGGAACTGCAGAGATGATTTCATGTACACTGAAAGATTGCAAGCAGCCCGTGCTCTTTTATTTGTGAGATGTGAGCACAGAGTGATAAAGGCGTTTTCGGGTTTTCCTGATCCCTTGGAGTCAAACTGGGGTTCTGAGCTCTCCAAACTCGGTCATCGCATCCTGTCTCCATGGTCCACAGGATGGACTCTTTGATGTTTTGCAGTCCACAACCCGAAGTAACTTTTGAGTGAATGAAGAATGCTCAGGATAAATGACGTGATTCAGCACTATCTGTTTTACGTGCTTGCACAGCGGCTGCGTCAGCAAAAGCATTACCTTGAAGGTCAAGTTTATGAATTTCATCCTTTGTGTCTTTGAGATCGTGATGGGACTTTACTTTTCTCTAGATAAACTTATTGGGAATCCAGTGATCTCGAACGAGAAGAGACACAAGCCTACATGAGCCATTGATTGGCGGAGTGGAATATGAGGCGAATCTGTGACACGTGTGATTGTATCGATGGCATACTGTGAATCTGTTGTGATTGTAATTTGGGCGCGAATATTGGCACGGGAACTTTCCTGAATAGTCCAAGTAATGGCAGCAAGTTCGGCTCGTGAAATGGTTTGGCGGCCATGAGCATGTTGGGTTTGCATAGCACAAAAGGACTTGCAATGTTATCAGGGTCATAGCCTACTTCTGCCCATACTGCTCGACTGGTTTCTGAAAGTGTTGGGTTGTCAGCTGACCCATCTGTAAAGTACATGGCGTGGTTGACCTACCGACGTCAGGTCAAGCTAATTACAAGGGGTTGGGGCTCCAGGGTTTGATCCCCCCCAAAAAAGAGGGTTAATTTTTGATATAATTGGAGGTTCAGCCAGATGTGCCGAGCTCCATGTTGAACGTCGGCTGGTCTTTTGCGTCGGTGCACAGGTGGACAAGCGTCGAGCGCCTAAGTCCAAAGCCAAGGAGGAGAGCGTCGCTGGAAGCCCAGCCGCTGGTCGTGTTGACAAATGCAAACAATCAGATGATTTGAGGGCGGGCCTTAGGATAGGTTGAGGTTCTTGGTCTGAAACCCATGTGAACCCACTTGACTGAGTGGGGCTGAAAATATGGGTGGAGGCCATCGCCATTAGGTTGAAGGCCATCGCCAGTAGGGTGGAGGCCGAGGCCATTCCAATTAGAAACAAAGCAAAAAGAAAAGGAAGAAAGGTCTAGGAAGAAAGGTCTATGAGTAGCGAACATTGTTTCTAATAGCAAACATTGTTACTACTAGTAAGGCACCTGTTACTACTAGCGAGGCACTTGTTACTAGTAGCGAGGCGGGTTGGTCAGATCCGGCGGGGGACCGAGATCCGAACGGTGATCTCCTTCGACAAGGGCGGAGCATGGTCCAGGGCTCAGAGCTTTCGCAAACCGGTGGGCCGGGTGAGCGTATCGGTCGGAGACACGTGTGACACATGTGGATGGTTAATCCCTAGATGGCGCTCAGTGCAATATGAGGTTGCACGAAGAGTTGGACGGCTTTTGGTGAGGTTTGAGAGTTGTCTTTGGGAAAAGAGAGCTCGAATCAGCTTCGTTTGGATGACTTGAAATATCTTGAACCATGAAATCTCCATGCATCGGCAAGATGCCCACCCTGCACCACGACAGACTTCGGATGAGATCCGACACGTATCGATACTTTTCGACCTCGAAGCACCATAAGGTCTTATCTCAAGCCTCCGCGGGTGGACTCCACCGGCAAGCAGATTGAATGCCCGGTGGACAAGTGCTGGCTTCATTTGCCCCCCCTTGGCCTGGTTTGGAGTTGAATTGAAGCGGAAAGTGGGGACTGGTTGGGACTTGCAGAGCGGACAATTGTTGGACACATGTTTGTTCTTTTTTTGTGTCTTCACCAAAGGACGACATGAGCACTTGAAAGATTCTTGAGCCAGGCATGGAATTACAAACTTCCACAACTACGCGTCCTAACCTGAGATCTTGGGACCTGACAAGCTGTGTACATGACTGTCGGAATGTTAGAAAATAAACACATACCTTTATATAATATATATATATATATTATTTACACTACATAACAAAAAGTATAACACAATTAGACTTAGACATAATTGTACCATCCTAATCCCTCGCACCTATGAACATTATGGACCAGACCTCAGTCTTCCAAAAGCGGAGAGCAATCCGATGCTTGGTGATTTTCGGGTTCTAGAGGCGTCGCCAGAAGTCAATGTAGCACTCCGAAAGCTTTCAGGACGGTTAAGTTAGTCACGCCACTGGCTATGGGTGGCGCGGGGTCAGGCCGTTTTACTCCACGGAGAATGCCATTGGGATCATCATGGGTCGCATCCTCAGCTGTGTTGCAGATGTTTCTAATAGCTTCTTGTTACTACTAGTAAGGCACTTGTTACTAGTAGCGATGCACTTGTTTCTAATAGCTTCTTGTTACTAATGATGTTTGAAGGACCGATCCTGCACGTCATTCGGCGTCACAAGATTTGGCTGTTTCTAACACCACACGTGCACAATCACACACAACCCGTGCTGTTCAGCGTCAAATGATGTCAAATGTATATTTTTGTTTATTTTTTGTCATGGCGTATCATCATCTTGGAATTAATCCAAGTTGATGATCAGTGAGTCGTGAGCTCATCATGTCAAGAGCCTCAAGGGAACAGCTGAACGGACCAACGCATTGTACCATCGTCCATATCTTAGAACTGCTACACAGTTTGCCTTAGCTCCCTCTAACCACGTTGAGCCAGCAAAGTTCACACGGGTTGATGTCAGAAACACTTTCTGATCAACAATTATATAATCAAAATTAATTGATCATAATTGCTTCCTCCTCGTCTTCAACCTCTGATGCTTCATCGGATGATTCTTGATGTTGGCACTAAGGAAAAAGTTGAGTGCATGCAGAAAGCACTATGTTGCGGTTGTGTTGCAGAAAGTGTGCCCATATCTGCTTGCGGAAGCTCAGCGTAAACACTTCATGTCCCTTGCAATCCGCATAAGCTTAAAGGTGAGTCACGTAGCGCAAGCGCATGCATGCGTAAGCACCTCCATACGACCGTTCGCTTCTCTTTTTCTAATGATCAGCTCACAATCAAAGCTAGCAGCTAGAGAGTGCCGATATGTTCCACAAGTCCGTTCCCATTGGAGGTCAACCATTCTTTGTTGGGTCCTGAAGCAGGATCCAGCATCGTTTCATCATATTTCACCAATGGAGGTCGAATGTTTCATTTCCCATTCGTTTCCGTTTTCCTATTTCCGGTGCCCTTTTTGGGACATTTTCCTGTTTCAACCCGAAGAGCCTTTTTAAACACATCGGTCGCCGTGTCTTGGAGGCACCGGCAATGTGGGCACCTCCCTTCGCTTCGAGCCTGACCAGGTCGGTGAATAGCAAAGACTTATTATGAAGTAATTAGATTTAAGGAGGGTGCGTTTTAAGCTTTGTAGCTCAGGGAGTGCATGAGTTGATGCTTTTTTGGGGGTTCGCCGGAGTTCGCCCTGTTTTTGATGCTTTTTGAGTTGTTGGACGCTAACATCCTGTTTTGGTCCTCCCGGCTTTCGTCGCAGACCAACACCTACCTCTCCCGGAACGGCGGGCTCACGTGGATCGAAGCTCATAAAGGCGAGAGCTGGGCCAAGGAGCTAAGAGCGGCCTCCAACCTAGCGATGGCATATGGTTGGACTCTATGATTGGACTCTATTGTAAGAGGCTTCAGATTGTAGATAAATCATGATAAATCTATTTCTCATCCAGTGATACAGGGTCAACAAGCATGGTTTAACGACAAGCAACGTTCTCTTGCTTTTTTTCCTTTCGCGCTTACTGGATCCTTAGGATCCTTGGTCGAGCAGTCATGCAAAGAAAGGCCAGCAGGTCATCCATGGTAATCGGGCTGCACTTCACCCGGATCCTGCATGGCCTCCGTGCTGATGTACTGATACAGCACATCAGGCAGCCTGTGCAGGGCCTTCTCAGGCCGCAAACGGTGGACGAATGCATGGAAGGCCGCAGCAATGGCACGATTGAGCAGTGGAGGATACACTTTCGCCTTGGCGGTGCGAAAAGTGCCGTTGTGCATGCCCGAAAGGCCGGCATGGGCACCAGGCCCATGTGGGCACCTACCTCCACACCCCATTTGCAAGACAAGCACCCTAAAGTGCGGCAGCCTGGCAATAAGAAAAGTCGTCGGTTTCAAAGCTGGTGCTTCGAAGATGCATTGATCAAAAGATACTGCTGCAACTGCGCTGAGCGACGCTAGTGCTTTGATCATGGGCAGCCTCCAAATGGAGGGACACGGCGTATGATAAAGCCATGTCGGCGTTTGAGGGTGCTCGATGAATCCACATCCTCCAAGCCCAACACACAGCATTATTAGCTCGACAGCGACTTGCAAAAGCCCTGTACCGACTTGAACCTGACGATGGTGCTTACGAGATAACCACGGGAGCCCCCATGGATGAGCTCGATCTCGCAATGGAGGGGGGCCCCCCCCCCTAACCATCGTGCTGCCGTCCAGGTCTTGCACGGGGGGCCCCCCCCCCGATACCCATGACCTGTCTGGCATGGATCCTTTCCTTCCACCACTGGATCCTTTTCGGGTCGAGCAGATCCCCTTCCTCTTTCTGCAGGCATAAATCAATGCTCAAACAAAAGCACTCGATTCCATGTGCCCAGTCATGGTGCTCGATGTGCCAGTGCAAATCTCCTGGCCTACGAAAGCCGGAGAACAGATGCACGAAAACCACTGAGATCACCGAGACCCGTGCGTCCCAAACAGACACAGAGTCTAAGCGATATATGCCTAAAGGTCCTTCATTCGTGCCCATGGTCTGGTGAAACACATGATCAGACTCTTTTGGCTTCTCGGCTTCCACAGTAGAGCCGCAACGTTCTCTTGCTAAACAAAAAGCAACTCAGAGGTTGAAGCAAACCAAATCAACAGGTCTTGGATCCGATTTGGGGGCTTGTTCCATCCTTGTGGACGACGCCTGTGAGGACGACGACGGTTTTTTTAAAGCTAAGGTTCTTCATGGCTTCCCTCATGCCTTCCCTTGTTCAAGATGTCTTATTGTTCTACTCTCCTTTCGATTAGGCCTCCCAAAAGGGCTGCTGATATTCTTGGGTCGCAGGGATGCGGAAAGGATACGGTGCACAAAAGGAGAGCAGATGACTCTAAAGAAGAACAATGAAGAAGGGCCTCATTGAAAGGCTGCTTTCCTGTATAAACAGATGCTAACAGGGGCTTGGGTTGAGATTCGGCCTTAGCAGATTGGAATTAACTCAGGCTTATTGGAGGTGCATTATGCCCCTAAACTCACGCGATTTCACGTTTTTGACTACTGTCGCGGGGTTTGGTGAATGCTTCTTTTGACCAGGTTGGCAGGGGTGCGCCCTACACATTCCTGAGACCCCATTGTTTTAGAGTTATATATCCTTCCAGCCCCTCCAAGCCACCCTCCACAGTTCCAGGGAGGGAGGAGACTCCAACCATGAATTGTGAGTCCGGTTTCACATCGTGAGCAATGCTTTTTTGAGCCGCTTTGAGCCTTTCGTCAGGTGCTTTCATCTATGAGTATGGAGACCATGGTGGCCTCGTTGTCATGGCAGATGATGTTCGAAAAACCAAGCTTGTTTGGGAAGCCCAGCAGTAATTGGTGCGTCTCTGTGCACCGAGCTCCTTGAAGTTCTTGGAGCAGCACAACGGAAGGAACCGAAAGGAAACCTTAAGATATCATGTTTGGACTTTTTTTGGTGCAATCATTACTGTGACTTTGCCGGGCCATAGCTTTGGCGCCTGCTGGGCCTCCATATGCTTTGGCGCAAACTCGGTCCTGAGGTGGTCTTCTCTTGGAATGAAGGCCAGAGCTGGTACGACTTCGAACTCTCTAGCATGCCCGTGGAGGTGCCGACGGGAGCGGACGGGCGCAAAAGGGCCATTGAGCTGGTGCGAGCGGTGTTCCCAAATGGCAAGACGTTCAACGGAGCACTTAAGAGCAAAAGCAGCTTTACAGTCAGTCAGAGCCCAAAAATGCATGCTTCATGCTGTGGTGCAGATGAGTCGTGAGACAAACCACCATTGACACAGTTCACAAAAGAACCAAGTGGGTACCATGTGGAGCCGCAACCATTCAAGTTCTGTCCTCTTTTGTCAAACCATGGCATGAAACAGGCAAGTCCTCTGCTTCTGTTTCACCTCTGGCAGGTGGATAATATCGTCACGGAGCCCAACGCGACTTCCACGAAGTTCCTCCTCTACGGGACTCGGGGAGACACCGAAGCTCGGCCGAAGTGGAAGAAGTCCTCTCAGCCGAAGGGGCGAAGCAGGGGCGGCCCGGAACAAGTTCAAGTTAGATCAAGGATTCAAGAGATGGCGAACTCGTGGTATCTCGTCGTACTGAAGATCAATCAAGCAAGATCCAGCTCAAAAGATGGTTGGGTTCATGTTTGGAGTCGAGTCTGTTTGGAGTCCAGTTGTATGCTTGGATCATCTTGGATCCTTGACTGGGCCAGGGAACCCAGGAGGAGATTCCTCATGACGTATCATGACTCATCATGACTCATAGAGCTCCAAATGGAAAGGCTTTGAGTAGCATTGAGTAGCTGTAGCTTTCTTTTGTGAATGGATGTTGCTTTATCCAGCATAGAGACTCCTAGAGATAAACCTACTGTGAAAGGCCCAAACGAGTCCCACGTGGTGAAGATTGGAGAACCTGTTCATCATCATCATCATCATCATCATCATCATCATCATCATCATCATCATCA